CCCAGTAAGTCCCCCCAATCCTGTCCCCTAGCTACAGTGGGGCTATTGGGGGCTTTGCCCCCTTCCTTAAAGGGCCAGATCCACAAAAACATTTTGAGAAGATTTTTTTAGAAGAATGGGGGTGCCCATGGGCATGGGTCCCCTGCTTCTTCTCAAAACATATAAAGGCTTTAAATGCTTTTGAGAAGTAGAGGGTGGCACGCACCCCTTTCCCTCCCTCAAGATTTAAAGGAGCCTCCAGTTGATTGGCGGGCCATGTGTTACCCGCTGATCAGCTGAAGGGTCCTTTAAATCTTGCAGGAGGGGAGGGAGAGGAGTGGCCACCAGCAGCTGGGCTTGGGGGCAGATTGGAGCTGACATAAAAATAAGAGCAGCCCCACCAGTCCCACCAGAAAATATTTTGCCCCATAAGCCACAAAATCCTGGCTACAGGCCTGCCCCAATCCCCCACCAGTTGCCAGGAGAACCTGGCAACCCTACACTGCAGGATCAGTATGAAGTCTAGATAGAACTCAGGGAAGACCTACCAGTACATTGTACTTGTTTAGATTGTGGTAGACAAGCAGGAACCCATGAGGTTTCACAGGGGTATCTTATTGTCCACACCATTGGTCCTCTTTCTCTTGCCATCTTCACTTTCCTTCCTTCCCTCCCCCTCGCAAGCCTTGCAGGTTCTCCTTTCCTGTTTTTTCCCCTTTCTCCACCACCCTTCTCCCCCTTGGTTCTATATCCCCCCCCCTCTATTCTAGCTTTACCATCCCCCATCTTCCTTCTTGTATCCTGCCTGCTCACTTTTTCTTTTCCCTTCAATCCACTTCAGGTTTCCAAACAAGACTGCAGCAGCCATTTGGGATTTCCTATGCAAATAGATTATTGCTAGAAAATCCAAAATGGTTGCCAAGATCTTCAAAATCTCATATGATCACAGCATTTTAAAAGATTTTTCTGTTAGTCCTCCCCATTTTGAAAAGTAAGGTTTTCCCATAAACCCCTCATTTGTAAAAACATCCCCTTTTTCGGAACCTGTCCCTATTCCACAGATTTTTAATCCACACTCTGGTCAAGTTAGATATATAGGTTGATAGCAGTGGTTTCATGTCTTCTGTGGGGGCCTTCCTTCTTTTTGGATGTTGTGGACTCATGCCTCTTTAGTGTGAAAGGAAGCATTTCCTATGGTACGTCCTTTACCGTCACCACCACCACTGTTTTCATGTTTTTGTACTAGGCCATATAGAAGAAGAGATTGGATTTATACCCCGCCCTTCACTACCTGAAGGAGTCTCAGAGTGGCTTACAATCTCCTTTCCCTTCCCCTCCCCCACAACAGACACCCTGTGAGGTAGGTGGAGCTGAGAGAGCTCTCTCAAGAACTGCCCATGAGAGAACAGCTCTGAAAGAATTTATGACTGACCCAAGGTCACACCAGCAGCAGCAGCATGTGGAGGGGTGGGGAATCTGGTTCTCCCAGATTAGAGTCCACGCTCTTAACCACTATACCAAACTGAAAAATAGAAAAACATTTTTTAAATGAAACAAAGTTAGAGTCCAATGTTAGACTAAGTCTGCATGCACACGAAAGCTCACACCTTGAATAAAACTTTGCTGGCCTTAAAGGTGCCATCGGACTCTAACTTTGTTGGTGCTATTGGACCCTAACTTGTTCTATTATTTCAGACCAACATGGCTGCCCACCTTGATCTATTTTTAAAATGAACCAGTTTACATTTAGGAATGTCTCTTTTTTTGAGACTTTGACATCATAGGAAAAACCTCGAGTTAATAGGAATAAGCCATACAGCACATCAGTACTAGGCAATATGTAACATTGGCAGGTAAAAGCATAACCTCCCTTAAGGCAAGAAAAGGATCATTCGAGGTCAACGGCACCTTCATTCCATTTGAGGCAGAGCCAGAATTAGAAAGAAGCCTCTGCAGGAGGTTGGGAGGAGGCAAAGGTCTCTTGGCATCAAGTCAAAAGTAGCACCAGTCAGTTTAAACATTTGGGTCAGATTCTGAGTTCATCTGGGGTTTGCTAGAGGAGGACTCAGATCAAGACCTCAAGCTCAAGCAGTCTCGATAGAAAGCAGTAGTGCTGAATGCTGTGTGTAACTTCTGCTCACAGTGTGGGCTCTTCTACCATGCCTCCTGCCTAGGTTGGCCAGCTCCGGATTGGGAAATTCCTGGGGATAGAACCTAGCAATGCTCCCTCTAAGCTGTGGAGTCCTGTGAGCAAAAATTCTACTTTGTGAGCTACTGGCATTTAAGCTGTGAGCGAGCGATTAGGCTACTGCATAAATTAGCCTGCTCTGGAGCCATCCTTCCTGAGCTAAGACAAAAATGTGTGAGCCGGAGGCTAAAAAACTGTCAGCTAGCTCACAATAACTCAGCTTAGAGGGAACACTGGAGCCTAGGGAAGATGTAATTTGGGGAGGGGAGGGATCTCAGCAGGGATATGATGTCACTTTGGACTTTGGTTTCTCCTAGACTATGGTATACCATAGAGTCTGCCCTTCAAGGGTG